CATGTAAAAATATAATATAAGATCTGGCGGACTTGGTTCTATGGTAGGTCTTAAAGGGTTAACTACAAATATTTTTTACTGAATCCACAGTTGGTTCTGCATTATAAAGTGGCTTGAATTAAATGGTGTGGCGCTCTTGGTACGCTCGATTAAGACCTTGAGTACCTTGTAAAATAAGGTTGATTCATTTTGCTTTCAGACAAAACAGCTCTCTTAAAAGTTCCCTGAAAAAAATGTACCAAATTTATTTTTTGGTCACTGTAATTGATGAACAATGAAGTTTATGGAGGACAATTTGACATTGATAAAGCTTTGGAAAAAATCACTACAAACTCGGGTCATAGCCAGTAGGAATATCTTGGTTTATGCTTTAATCTTAATTCTGTGATATAAGATATTTGCCAGTATCAGGCATGATGTGATTCTATTTACATACATGCTGATTAAATATCAGACACAATGTAAATACCTAATTAACATGACACACCTTAATTTGCTGCTAACGACTTAATCAAAATTTTGATGAGTACTAGACTAGAAATTCTGCAGCATGAGTTCACAGTGACGCTGCTGTCACCACCTAAACAATAATTAACATTAATTAGCAAAGCTGACCTTGCTTGTTGTTGGCACCATTTGTCATGTTACTTAGTAAAGTGACAGTGAGCGCCAGCAAAACAACATCCAAGATACTTCTGCCTGAATGGAAGTTATATATTTAACAGCAAGCTATACCCCGCAAAATAGAGCAGGCCTTTAATTGTGGAAAGCAGCTCAGGCAGATAAAATAGTAAAGAAAGGATCAGAATTTGATCAGCTTTATTTCATTGGACACTGGTCCAAATGGACTGAGAAGTGACTAATAATCACAACTCAAGACTTCAAATGTTCTGTAGAACTTTGGAGAATGTCAGATCTCATAAAAAAAGATGATCGATAATTTAGTCATATTTTAAAGACAAAACAAAATATTATCTTGTTTAATATTTTAATATGCAAAGATTTGCAAGATTTCTTTGAGTTAAAGGAAACTGATATGTATTTTTTCTTTGCAGTTATTAATTAGGACAATAGGTTATTAATCAAATGTTTTTTAGATTGACATATAATGTCAAATTATATTTTGTTGCAGTCCAACTGCCATTTTTGGGATTCCCAATATTAAATGTAACTAAAATGGCTGTGGAATAAATCCAGGAGATTATTCTCTTACTCATCTCCAACAAAGCGATGTACCTTCCTGTGAAGAGATAGCTTGAGGACAACATTTAGACAATAATGTAGGTGAATATGTTTTATAGAAAATATTCTCAAACAAATAAGCTAACATGCATGTGTTTAACACAGGCACAGCAGGGGCCTACACACAAATCCCCAGCAGGACAGTAGGGTTAAACCACTAACCATAATGCTACCCACCCTAAATAAAACTAATCACGGTGCACTTCCTTTTCTTCACTGTTCCCTTTAGAGGTCACCACAGTGGATTACCTCCCTCCATCTCACCCTAGTCCCAGAATCATCATTCTTCACACCAACCCTCTTTTCCTCCTGCCTGTAAGCTGCATGTTCATCATCCTTGGTCCTATATATTTACCATCCCTCCTCCACATATGTCTAAACGATTCTCAGCTTCACCTCTGTAACTTTGTCTCCAAATGATACATTATAAACTGTTCCTTTCACTCTTGCTCCTGTCTTTCTGTCACCACTCATCTTCACCCACTCCATCCTATCTCTCTTGTGCACCGTCCGTTGCTTTGGATGGTTGTCTCTAGGTATTTAAACTCAGCTACCTTGACTACCTCTACTCTTTCCAGCATCTTTCCACCTGTCTCATTCACACACATGTATTCTGTTTACTTCTACTGACTTTCATTTCTTTTCTTTCCAGAGCATGCTTTCTGAAAACATCATACTCCATGACATTCATAGCAAGTACCCTGAATATGGAAAAAACTGTCTAGTGGTAGTCAAGTCTGAGAATTCCATCATTTAAGCACTGTCAGGCCAAGCTGGAAGACGACAGTTTGAGAGATGCATGTTCCAGATTCAAATCTACGTCCCCATACGAAAAAAAAGAGACACACTGTCTATAATCAGACAAACGTGTGGCTATTCATCTTTATTTTTTCCTCTCTTAAAGCCATGCAGTTTGCTGGGCTATCTCTCTAACATTAAAGGCAAAGAAATTACTCATGTTAATAAAAACTAGAATGGCAGGGAGATTGTTTCTCTGAAGAGAGTTTTACTATGGACTAGTCTGGACTCCACAATAGAAATACAATCCTTAAGCAGCAGGACTGGTGTTAAAACAGCAGTACTGTAGCAGTAAACATCTGCCGGTTTCAAATGTCCTTGAGCAAGGCACCAAATCCCCGTGAGCTCCAGGGGTTCTGTTCTGCAGCTGACCCCAATCTCCCTGAGGAAGAAGTAGTGGGTCAAGGTTTCCAAGCACAAATCAATACAGAATCAAGTAATATAACTCTTACTTTTCAGTTTTGCAGCAACTAGCAGGGTCATAAGGTTAACAGAAATGAAAGGTACACTTGTGAAGATTTAAACCGTCACTCACTGCATTCGACGTATGAAGGAAACACAGAACCCATCCAACACCCAATGGTATTATGTTGAGCAGGTGGGGAGTAAAGCACAGAAATGTCTACTGTGGCATTGAACCTGAAAAGTAAGAGCCCCACCTGACAGTGACAGTGGGGCCATGTTTCCCGTGTCTATCATTCTCGTTCCTGCCCACATTCACAATTTTTCCCTTCATGTTCCATTCATCCTTCTCTTTTCTCCCTCTTTTACTATTCTCTTTTTACCACTCTGTCCCCCCTCTCTGTCTTTGATGTGCAGGTAATGAAAAAGCAGAATCAATTGGCTGCTGCTTTGTGCAAGCAGAGATGTTGAATGGAAATCAATCCGTTACCTAAAGACAAGGGAACTGCAAAATAACACAGACACACCAACAACTTCCTACTGAAAAAAAAGGGAGAGTAAGGGGAAGTGGGGAATATGAAAGGACAGGACGAAAGAATAAGTGATCTAACGGTGATCAGTGTGGGTCGTGATAGGCTGTCTAATCACTCCTCCTCTGTGGCCCCACAGAAAGCTGCTTGTTTGTAGTACTTAATGTAGTATTTTGAAGTCTCAAGGTGAAAGTCCAAATGCACAGACTCTGTGCTGTGAATATAAGCGAGAGCAACAGAACAGCTGTAATGTTATCTTTAAAAGATGGACAGCTATAAATCCGACTTGTCCCATCTCTGTATGTTACACTTTCTAAACGGGGTTTAGCGACAAAGAATTATGAAGAAAGAAGACTTTTCTGGAAACCAAGGTCACGGTCACGATGACCCAATTGGTCATTCCCGGTGTTCCCGTTGACCATTATGCATATTGATGTACGTGTAGGGATTAGTAGTGATAGGAAAGAGATTTCCCTATGGAAGCTTGAGGTGTTTGCTAATTCCCTCTCTTCCCCCTAATTTACTGCAGTAAATATTTGGCTCAAATAACAATCATTCCCTGTGAGACTGATCTAATCTGTGTAATCCTGTGCAAACAACAAAAGTCAAGAAAGGCCAGCAGAGCCCTCGCCGTCAAGGCCATCCTGTTTCAGTCAGCAGGCTGGACTGTGTTGTGTTCGTTTGCGGGCTTGTCAAACACTCTCATGTTTCTTTGCTTTCCATCCTCGTCTCATATCCTTGTTAGTCTAACTTGCCCTGATATGAACTTTTTGTCTGTCCTGTAAGGGAGTAAATAAAGACGGGTTGTCCGTGCATATGCTCTGATAAAAAACAAGCTTATTGTCTTCCACTTTAGGATTAATTATGCAAATTTCAGACAAGGAAGTGTGTAGGTTGAAAAAAAAAATCACAGTGAATACATAATCATTTTCATGATCAAACAGAATTGGCAAATACACATTTTTTGTTTGTTTTTTAGGGTATTTTAACCTAGAATTTCCATGGTCATGGCTTTGGTTTGCCCATGTGCCTTGCCTTACCTTCAAGCTCATGCAGAGACTTCATAGTGACCTTACAACTCCCACATGTATCCCTTTCACGGCCAGCATTCTTTCTTCGTAGTGCCCCAGTAGCCCACTTGGAGTGGCCTAATAACGCCCCTATAGTCACCTTGCAGTGATGTAGGTATGCCAGTGCCCAGATGCCTTACATTCTCACTTCTCTCCAGCTGTTCCACTTGTATTTCGAGTGAAAACATTTTCCAAGAGGACAATTAAAGTTAGATCTACTCTGATGTGATTTGATCTATGCTGCTCAGGCTTGGCTCATTCTCTCAGTAGGCCCCATCATATTCAATTTCTCACTCTGTGTAATGAATGTTATGCAGTGATGCTGTCAAGATTACCTGTAAACCAGTGAGTCATCCTGGCTTCCGTTATACTGTATCTGGAACATCCGAATTCCTGGTATATTCCTCTGGAAGTTGAACTTGATCAGTGCAGTTGATGACGTGGCCTCGGCTGTCACCACCCTCTTATCCACACCGCTCTTCACATCACCAGTCACGTTGCTCCCGTTGGCGCCGCCTCGGGTTGACGTGGAAATGTCCGAAGATCGCGTGTCGGACTCCTGGATGTTGTTTGTGTTGTTGGAAATGTGCGGGAGTTTGATAATAACCAAATCCACTGTTTGGTGAGCCTCGCCGGCGGGGTTGGAGGAGATACAGGTGAACGAGCCAGTGTCTTGCACCTTACTGATGACAATGTCCAGAGTCCCGTTAGCGTAGACAAGTGTTCTGGAGGAATTAGAGACCAGTTTACCCTCAGGAGAGATCCAGTGAATGGCTGGCTCTGGGTCACCTCTTGCCTTACACCTTAAAAGACAGAAAACCAATGAATTGAAACTTGAAACAAGACAGCACAGGGACAACAGCATAGTAGAAGCAAAGCTTAATGCTTAATGGTTTCTGGAATCCTGCTACTTTTCCTCTGAGACTTGGGTGAAAAGTAAGAGGCTGAACCTTATCTACTATGTTGACAGAGCACATTTGAATTAGAGAACAAATGACAGCCTTTGTACTACAGTTGGTTAGCCAATAATGGAGTAGTATTAGGTTGTAGTAGTATTACTTCTATATTAAAAGGTTTCTGGGTCAATAAAATTATTATAACTCCATGCTGACATTTAAAAATTCCTTGTCTTGGTGTAAAATTTGTAAGTTAAGATACTAAAAAAGTAGTTATTAAATTTTTTTGTGTCATAGTTATAGCTCTTTTGAGACAGAGATCCAAATAAACAGCCAGAAATGGTATCAATCAGTCAGATTTTATAGCTTAATTCGTGTCTCACATGCTATAAACCAAAAAGGAAGAGTCAGAGAAAAACAATATTCTATTTCATCAAACAAAAAATGGTTTCACAACAAAGCAGACTCAATTTGAAGGATTCAAAATTAGAAACAATCTAAGTGAGGAGCATGTTTGTCAGGGTAATTTAGCGTTCCCCTTTTTCTGCAGATAATTACAATTACTGTGAAGTGCTTCAAAGGTTATAGAATAAGAGCTAACAAAAAAATCACATTTTTAGCTGGAGTCACACTACACATTCTCCACACATGATTGTTAATGTTAGAAATGAACTAAAAAGGGCTCCTGGGATGTGAAGTTCATTTGAAG